TTGTGGTGGTGAAAATACTAATGGCCTAAGACTTTTGCACAGTACTGTGTGTGTGTGTGTGTGTGTATAGTCAGTATATCAGTTTGCATTCCTTTTGCCATTAATTGTCCAGTGAGATTTTTGTCTGAAAACAGCCAGTGCTCCACACAGAGATCTGATCTCAGCATCATCCAGTCCGTGTGTGTGTTAATATATTCTTGCCAAGCAGCTTTTTATTTATTTATTTATTTATTATGATTATGATTATTATTATTATTAGTATTAAAGAGTTACAAATGTAACCGGGATACATTAGGACAAACAAAATTACCTAACTGATATCAATTCTAAAATAAAAAAATAAATCAAAAACAGAAATACAGTTAAATAAAAACATTACAATGTTTAAAATTACATTTAAAGCACATTTTATATTACCACAGCTTATTTATTTATTTATTTTTAATTTATTTTTAGATATTGTTAAAAACAAAGGCTTTTTTAACCTATAATTACAGTTATGTTCACTAAATTATAAAATCAAAATATAGAAATTAAGAAGTAATGATATAAATAGCAGATTAATATTTATAGTGATATATAAATATGTTTGACTGAATATTTAATATTCCTTTTAAAAAGATATGCCACAGGCGGCCAAGCTAGTGGACGTAACGGTGACGTACTTTTGAAGCGACGGAAGAGTTGTTTGTAGAACAGCTTGCATTTGTTACACGTCCAGCACATCCTAAAGTCAAAGACTGAGGTAAAACAAAAACACTCTTTGTCATATCAGGCTGTTTAATAGATATAATGTTAATTCCGAAACTCCACAGGTACAGTTTGACGCGTGTTGTGAAGCATCTACGATTGTGCGTCAATCTGACACATCAATCATTCCAGATGTGTTTAGATCTGTGATCTCTTTAGAGGGCTGCACTCGTGTTTTATTGTGATTTAAATGGTAGGAAGTGTGTGTTAACGGTATATATTACATTTCAAATGACATTGAAGTCTTTATTCATTGTCTCTTGGGTGGGTCATACCCATGCTCTCATAGAAATGGCATATGACACGTATATATATGTGTGTGTGTGTCTGTCTGTGTGTGTGTGTGTGTGTGTGTGTGTCTGTCTGTCTTTACACCTTAAAACAATCTAGAGCTTCACTCAAGCACATGCACACACAGTATCACTTTATTTATCACATCAGTAAAAATGAATCTGTACTGTTTTCCTATTTATAGATCTTCATCAAGTGGTGAAGTATGGTGAGTTGCTCTTTCTGTCAGTATTATGCCGTTTCCTCTGGCCTGCTCTCTGTATATTTGGCATCTGTCTCTTTCTGTGTTTTTGTCAGCACGGACGTCTGAAGATAAAGTCAACCGCGCAGCAGGAGGAGGAGAAGAGGAAAGAGAGAGAGAAAAAGTTGAAAGCGTTTGTGTCTGCTCGCGATGCCGTCCTGAAAAAGGTTTGTTGTGAATTGAGTGAGGTCAGGTTTGGAGCTGAAGTCTGTAACGGCTGAAGTTTCTCTGTCTCTGTCTCAGAGGAGTGCTGGGGAACATGACGAGGAGGCTCTGCAGTTGACTCAGCAGCTCCTGTCCTCAAACCCGGACTTTGCCACGCTGTGGAACTACAGGAGAGAAGTGCTCTTACACCTGGAGACCTTACGGTAAGAGGCCGCTGCACACCTATACACAATATTGGTCAGCACCATCAGCTAAAAAAAAGTCAGTGTACTGTCTCTAAATATTTCTGATACATGCTGACAATCTAGCGTTCACTTCAAATGAATGAATGGTTTCTGATTTTTCATCTACTGAATTGGTTACATTTTTTAGTATTTAGTATTTTGCCAATATAATATGCTTAGTGACTAGATTTATATAATATTTTATGTATAATATGCAAATCACACATGTATTAAATGCAAAATCCTTTTTTCTACTTAACATTTATATATATATATATATATATAAATGTAAATTATATTATATTATAGTACATTATATTATATTATATATGATGGAAATCACACATGCATTAAATGCAAATAAATAAAAAAAAAAAATAATAATTTGATCAACTTTTTGATTAAACAAATCAACTTGATTTTTCTTTCTGCCCAGGGCTTCTAAAAAAAATTTTATTCCAAGTCTTGTAATATTTTACTAATATAATGAAATTATTGACTAGATTTATACCATATTTTTATATTATGTACAGAACCATATTTAGGTTTTATATATGTATTAATTTGTAAATCCATTTAGTTTTTCTGCTGAAAATTAGTTTTTCTACTTAAATGCAGAAATTATGTAAAAAGTTTTCTCGTTTTAATATTTCTGACTGGTCTTTGAAATATTTCACAGCTTTTTTAATGTAAAAAAAAAATCCTAGTGTCAGGACATAGCAGTAATATTTAAAATAAACCCTATTTATTAACATTAAGAAAAAGTTTAAAAAAAAGAAAAAGTAAAAAAAATATAATAAAAATAAATAAATTGCCATAAAAAATGACAACAGCTGACCAAATATGACATGAAAGAGCATTTTAAAGACAGTAATATATTTTTTCTCTGCATCCTCTAGAGAGAAGGACGAGGTGCAGAAGCTGTATGAGTCTGAGCTGCACTTCATCGAGGCCTGTCTGAAAGTGAACCCCAAATCTTACGGTTGCTGGCACCACCGCAGCTGGGTAAACACGCGCCTGCCGCAGCCTGACTGGACACGAGAGCTCGGCCTCTGCGACCGCTGCCTCAGCCTGGACGAGCGCAACTGTGAGAGAGTCATGGACTGAACAAGATAGATATAAGATTGGACTTTGTGTTGTTAACATTTTTTATATTTCTCTTTGTCTGATGTGTATTTTTTCTGTTTCTTTCCTCAGTCCACTGTTGGGATTACCGGCGCGTGGTGGTAAAGGAGTCTGGTGTTTCTGCCGAGCAGGAGCTGCAGTTCACAGATCGTCTGATCGGCTCCAATTTCTCCAACTACTCCAGCTGGCATTACAGGAGCACGCTGCTACCTCAGCTCCACCCACAGCCTGTCCCTGACTCCGCCCCCAACACAAGCCCCTCCCCCACCACCTCACCTCAATTTCACTCACACAGAGTCTGTGA